TTGCAATAGATGCAAAATTAAACAAAGTGAACAAAATTCTACAAGGTCTGAAACTGAGGTTAGTCATCCACTCATTTAATCTAAATCTTTAACGTAATTAAGTTAGTTGTAGTTAAGTTGTCAGAAACAAGGCAGGCAAGGTAGAACTGAACCTTTAGTTCCCTTTAATTCCAACTCAGTGTAACATCACCACAGTCCTGGTTTGTTCAACAGAATCAATAACTTCCAACTTCACCTGAAAACTGATCCTGACATGATCGATACGATGGATGATGGATAACGTTAACAGTTAACTGACTAAATTAACGGCCTACAAACTGGGGCTCCTCTTCCTCACTCTTCCTCTCCCTGTCGCTGCCTGAACCCGCCGAGTCTTCATACCCCCAGAGTCAGAGTCCTGGTCGGAGCCGCCGGGTCCCTCTGCTGTTCCCAGTCCGGGTACAGACAGCTAATAGGACCGCTGACTAGTTAATAGCAGCTAGTGCAGCGGTCAGAGACTTCCTGTGTTACAAGAGAAAATGTCCGTGTTGCAACAATCCTCTGATACTGAAATTAAAAACTGAGCGCAGTTTAACGTTGGTTTGGTTTCTCTGAGACTGTCAGACTGATGGAAAGTGTCACTGAGACTGTTGAGGGGTTAATACTAAATGTATTTCAGTTTGTTTTATTTCACTCAGCTGCCAAAGCACACCCTCTCTATCATGTTTTATGTTCCATGATGTTGTCTGATGCCACACCTGTTATATTTTAACAGTCTTTTATACGTAGGCTCATTCAATCCCCTTTTATAAACAGTGCAGGGAAACAGGACTAACCAGTAGAGAGGAGGAAGATGACGTCAGTCAGAATGATTAAAGAAACAAACCATCCTCTCCTTACATATGAGGAAAAGTGACCAAGGGACAAACCTGCCATCCAGTCAGAGGACACATAATCTCTCAGTCCGGTCTGAGCGGTTAAATAATGGCAGCAGCCCGAGGGCGTTTTATTGCTGGTCTGTTTTGTCCACATGAACTCTGACAAGGACAGCAGCCAGCAGCTGGAGGAAGGAGAGAGGAGAGAGGAGAGAGGAAAGGCCTGTGTGAGCAGCAACAGAGCAGAAGTTAAATATAGAAAGCCGGCAGGAGAGGGAGGAAGAGAGGGAGGATGCAGAGGACAGAAGGAAAGGAAGTGAGTGAAGGAGAGAGGAAGTTGTTTCAGCGCCTCAGTTTTCTGTGTGAACTCGTGTCTCTTCCCACCGTCAGCCACAGTCTGCAGGTTGCCATGTAGGAACTGTTCACACCCGACAGGCTGCCGGTTCCGGTTGCTTTATGTGGTCAGACCGTAAGGTGCGGCACCGTGAACCAGTGGTGGAGTCATAAGAGTTAAATACAAGGCAAGATAGTCAGCTGACTGTCAGAGAAGACTGAAGATAAATAATAAATATTAAATATTCACATTGAGAAGCTAAAATCTGAGAATTTTGCCTTTTTTTTTTTGTTTTTTTACTCAAAATGTTGAATTGATTATCAGGCGATTTATATTTATATTTATTTTAACTCATTGATTAATTAACTAATTGTTGCAACTATATATAAAAAGTTATTTTATGGTAAAAAAAACCGGCAGCTGTGGTTGAACTTTACTGTAATAAAAACAGTATATTAATACTGTTGAGTTTTATTCCATATTTAACTGTAATGCAAGTTTATACCATCAATTGTTTACAGTCTTACTGTAAAATCTGCAGTCATTTTTTACAGTGTACATCTTCATGTTGATTTAGGAAGTCAGAATATTTTATCTTTTTTAAATAATCCAAATAAAAGTAGAATAGTTCACAACTGATCAGTTAATGTACTGACTGTTGCAGTGTCAGTGTACTGAAACATGAAACAGAGTATTGGGTGAAGTCGTTTGCAGTAGCAGCTACTGAACGCTCCGACAGCTTCGTGGATTAAACAGTGAAGAGTTAAAGTTCCTGCTGCTGCGTTCAGTCACGTCGGCGATGTGGAAACCGGGTCATTTGGATGCTGGAGCTGAAAATAGAGCGGGGACTGTTGGGCCCGCTACACTCGGCGAGCTCCACCTTTTCGCTACGGATGACTGACACTTGTTTCAGCTCGTCCGCACATCATCAGCCCCGTTTCAGCCTCTGTGCACTGCTACCAGTCAGTGTGAGAGCAGTGTTAACTGATCACACATAAAGGGCTTCACGGTCCAGCCCCCCCCCCCCGAGGGTCTGAGGCAGCAGTTCCCAACCTTTTTCCTTAGGGGGCCCTTATCTATCATATATTATATATACATATATTCAGTAAATACAGAACAGCTGATAAACTGAACAGTGAACTCACTGCAGGAAGTTTGTGTAAAACCAGAGCAGATTATTTCCTGTAAATATTTCAGCAGAACTTTTATTCAACATCTGTCTGTACTTTTAATTTTTAATATATTTTTTTCCAACAATGAATCCCCGTTGCTCTGTTAGCTCTAACTCTTCTCCTGCAGGACGAGGCTGTCGGTGTGTGAATATACACTGTTCAGCTCCAAAGTTTAGTTTTAGTTTACTTTAGTTTTCTTCAAAGAAATTAATAAAATGTTTAATTACAGACCTACTGTATACATATAAGGTTTTAAAGTTTTCTTACACCCCTTAAAATCAAGAAGGCCTCGCGAAACCTCTTAAGCGACCGATAGTAGGCGAAACTTTGGAAGCCTGTTTCTGCTAATGTGACGGGAAAGTTATTTTAATGATGGAGTTTCTGAAAATAATGACTTGGTAAAAATTATAATAATAATGACAATATAGCAGAACTTAAAATAAACACATCATTTTCATATAAACAGTCGCTGTAGCATCTAAAATACTTAAATTTAATTTATATGTGCTCACAAAAGTGTTCCCACTTTATTTAAACGTCCTTCTCTTTTCAAAATGTCCAAAAGAAATTACCTGATTTAAATCAGAGAACACACGGTCAGAATATAGGCCATTGATTTCAGTTCACTGATGTTATAACCTCTCCCTCACTCTCTCTCGGGGGGTGGAGAGGAGAGGAGGTGACGAGAGAGACCGAGACTGAGGAGAGACAGACGAGAGATGGGAGGAGGAGGGCAGGAGAGGAGAGTGTTGCAGGGAGAGACAGGACGGTGATTTTGGGTATAAAATATATAAAAGAGATAGAGAGTGG